AAACCAAAAACAAAAACAAAGAAAAAGAAAAAAAAATGCCCAAAAGCTTTTAAAAACTCAAAGGGGGATTGACTTCTGTACAAATATTGACATTAAACCAAATAAATAAAATTTAAAAAGACCTTTCAAAAAGCTAGGAAAGTAGGATTTACATGTGTTTGTTGCTCTGACACTATATTGGCTCTTGAAGACTTGAAGCGTTACCACTATTTTTAGATACCTTTTAAACATTATTTTCTTTAACAATTATAAATTTTGTAATTATTGAGTTCAGTAATTAAAGACCTGGCACACTCTGAAACGCACTTTTAATGAAACTTAACCGGCCAACCAGTATACAAACTATTGCATTGTTTAATTAAGGTTTTTGCAAGACATGTCCATCAATAATGGGCTTGTACAAACACAAGACTCAAATAATAGAATACTCAATTTTTCGTCGATCGTTAGAGGAATAAGAACTTTTCTCATACAGCTGGTAAATTCACTTATGGAGTTCGAGTTTTGAGGAACTTGAGAACTCTCTCAGGAAAGCAAGACTTAAACTTGTGTTCAAACATTTGAAACCTTCAAAATATCCTTTTCATAAGTAAGTATATCAAGCTACTTCTTATTCTTATTTCTTTTATTTAAAAAAAGATAATGTTATTGTTAAGATTTATTGTATATTGCTTTAAATCTCTCCTTAATAATTAATATTATCTACAATTGTTACAAGCATTTTAAAATATTTCCTCTTTGAAGTTCATTGAATTTAAACGACACGTTTGTGAATCATATATCATTTTCAGTGCATAAAATCCTATTTTCCCAGCCCCCCAAAAAAGCAAATCCAAGCTCTCATTTGACCCCTCCTGAACCCTATTCAATCTTTTGAAAACAAACTTATCTCAAGGGGAAAATTCTTTTTCTATTTTTTCTTTCTCTTTTAGTCGCAAGTGAAATCTTGAATTGAAGTTTGAGAAACACCAAAAGAAAGTAAGTTTAAAACTAAATTTAGCAAGCAAAAAATATTATATTTTTCAAAAGAAATCTTAAAATAATTGGAAAGTTCCACTGAATTATATTTTTTCACTTTGGATATGCTTCATGACTTATTTTTACTTCGTTTTAATAACGTATGGATATTTTGAGCTCGGGGGAAAAAAATTTTTGTTATTAAAAACAGCTTCCGGTGGATTTATTAACGGTATTAGTAAATTTGAAACTCAATTTGAAAAGATTTAAGATTAAAATTCTAAAACTCTGGGCGGAGAGGGAATCAAAGTGACAGTTTCGATTTATGAATAATTAATGACATCCAGAACTATAGTCAAGGCACTTAGGTTGTTTTTCAAAACTCTTGGAAACCCGCCATTTTAATACGGAACTCGAAGATTTTAGTGTTCCCCTAAACAAATAAACTTTACACCAGCTTTTTCTTTTCACATTTAAGTTTGCTTAATGATTTTTGAATATTGGCAGTATATTTGTGCGTTACTATAAAGGCTGTTGTTCTAGATTTCGTTTTTAAGAATAAAGTTAATTGGTCTTGATCAGTGACTGAGGTGAAGAAAGAAAGAAAGAAAAAAGAGAAAGAAAGAAAGAAAGAGAAAGAAAGAAAAAAAAGGGAAAGAAACAAAGAAACAAAGAAAGAAGGAAAGAAAGAAAGAAACAAAGAAAGAAACAAAGAAAGAAAGAAACAAAGAAAGAAAGAAAGAAAGAATACAATAGAATATTTAATAGATTTATTACTACATATGTTACCGATCCGAAGTAAAGTTTCAATTCAGTGTGTTAAATGAATTAAGACAACACTTCTAATAAGCATGTTTTTTCTTTTCTTTCTTCAATTATTCTTACACCCTATGATTATATAGACGGTGTTAATTAGAATTGTCGCTAGTTCTACATCCGTTACCATAACTTCCAAGCCAAGGTCTCATAAAGACGCAAATTGATTATCTAAAAGACGATAAAATACTCGGAATTTAATCTACTGTAGCTCAGTACCAATTAGAAAAAACAAGCCGCATAACGAGTGCTTCAGTTAAAACGCTATCATGATAGATTCTTATTCGAGACACATTTCAAGTGCATCGGCATCCCAAACAAGGTTCCTGTGTATGGTTTACAAGGGAATGTATGGGAGTTATGATAAAGTTATGAAAATAAAACGTTTCACTCAACAATTTGCCTCAAAACTTGCTGCAGTTGTTGCTTTTACTTTGCGCAGTCTTCTGGCGAAGTTTCAGCGCGATTTGAGGCCGTTTAGTGGGTTTTTTCAAAATCCGCTCTTCTCTACCTAAATTGTTTGGGCTGCCTGTGGTTAAGGCCGATTTTGAAAAAACTAATTTGTGAATAATCTTTTACATGGTAATAATACGTATTAGGTAATTATTAAAAATTTAGGAAATTATTAAGAGGTCGAACATGCTCAGAAGGGATTTCGTGTAATACACGCGCAGTCGCAGTGCTGCAAAATCGAAAGCAGATCTGTGAGTTAGCCATGCCCTGACTTAGATCAGCCCAGAGGTTTTTTCAGGGTTTGATCTGTGAGTTAGCCATGCCCTGACTTAGATCAGCCCAGAGGTTGTTTCAGGGTTCTATCTGTGAGTTAGCCGTGCCCTTACTTCGATCAGTCCAGAGGTTGTTTCAGGGTACGATGAAATTTGAAGCTTGCAAACGGGGAGAGGGTGCTAACGTTTTTACGGGTAGGAAACTAGATACGTCCTTTGTTCAGTCCCTAATTCTTCTGAAATCGGATCCCAATAAATCATTCTTACCAGTCTCCACATAACAGACTATTTAAAACTATCTAAGAGCAGCATGTCGGACGAAGAGTGGTGCTTCATTAATATCTCCAACACTCTTGACAGCTTTGTCATGTCAAGGAATTATTCTTCCTAATTCATCCGGAAATGACAAAAAGCTTAAAATACATGTCGGTTCTTTAAGTGGGCGAATTTTTTTCCGGAAATTCTAAACTTGGGCTTTATGGAATAGTCAATTGAAAGAGGGTGAATATAATTTTCCAAAAGGTAAGGTGAAAACGGAAAGATAAAGGTTCATCTTTGAGCAGGAGGCTAAAATATTGAAGCTTTTCAGTTTTTAAGGTAAAGTTTTTGTCGTTAAGTTGGAGTATTGGAACTGGTTTTGAGTTCGGGAAGCACTGGTAATTTGCGCTACTAATGCATTGCCTCTCAGCGTTGTGGTCACGAGCTCAGTCTCCATTGACTTAATGCCCGGACCCGCTATATTTGAGTAGAATAGGAATGGGAAATAGAATCAACAACATGGAATTCCTTCAGTTTTCATCACTAGGACCGGCATTCAGGTCAATAGGAATGGGAAATAGAATCAACATGGGATTCCTTCAAGGTTCATCACTAGGACCGGCATTCAGGTCAATAGGAATGGGAAATAGAATCAACAACATGGGATTCCTTCAAGGTTCATCACTAGGACCGGCATTCAGGTCACTAGGAATGGGAAATAGAATCAGCATGGGATTCCTCCAGAGTTCATCACTTGGACCGACATTTAGGTCACCATGGAGCGGAAAATAGGATCACCAGCGTGGGATTTCCCCAAGGTTCATCTATTGGACCAGGATATAGTCGACAGGGAATTGAATTAAATATATACCTTAGTACAGTTGCTTGTTGGTTCTTTCTCTCTTGTGCTGCGATATTTTTCTCTGGGTTCACCTATTTTCGTCTCTCCAATTTGATTATTTTTTTGGGAGGAAGTTTTCTGATCACGCAAGTAAAATTTAATTCCAACTCGTATTTCTTGCAAGTACTGAAGAGCACAGGAAGTCCTTCTTCGTCCGGCCACCTGTTTATCCTCAGTATGGCTTCAAGCTTAGCCCTTTGTTAATATGACATACCTAATGGATGTTATAAGTTGCTCTCCCTATCTTTCAATTTATCGTCTTACTCTATGTCTAACCATGATGAAGGATCGGCCTTCTCAAATTTCAAAAAAAAAAAAAAAAAAAAAAAAAAAAAAAAAA